AGCACAACTTTTTAATTTTCACTTGCATACTTAAGTTGGAGTTTTTGAAAGGTTATTTTGAAAGGTAGAAACCTGAAAGTTTGTCCAGTCCCCTTGGAATTCAGGTAGTCTTGCATGTACTTCTGTCAGTCTTTGAGAAGGGTGAATCCCTTTAGTACTTTAGTACTTCAGGTAAGGTAGGAAGAAATGTTTAAGTAACTGGCATTTTCATTCTGGAGAAGAAATCATTGACAGACTAATTTTGTATTTATGTTGGACATAAAAGAACTTCAGTGATCCTCACTCTGAGCACTGATGAATTAAAAACAGTACTTGTTTTAATTTTTTTTTTTCTTCCCAGTACCAACAGGCTGGAAAGTTGGGTTTTGGACATTTAACTGCTGGGAGGAATATTAAATGGTGAAACTACCCATGAACCTAATGTCTTCCAATGTGTTGCTAAAACAAAGGAGTTTAATTCTCAGGAATAGCACAAGGATTAAACACTGCTCTCAGGAGCTAAATGTCTCTGTCTTCATTGTTTGAATACTTCAGATGCAGGCTTCATATGTGTTTTAAATGTTTTCTACTGATTAATGGATGGCATTTTCTCTGAAATTTCTAAACATTAAACGATACATCCAAAGTATTGATAAAGTTTAGCAGCTCCCATTGTTTGAGGCAGGAACATATTCCAGTGTCTCTATATAGCTTATCTTTGACCATATGTTCTTCATAAGAAAAAAACCTGCTGAGTTCTCCACAGTTTCTCAGGTCATTTTTATCTAGGCCAGATTATTGGACTTTTAATATTATTATTGTGATTGCCCATAGTATCTGAGGAGGCCAAGTGGGGAAAAAACCCTTTGCTCTGTTACAAATGGGTGTCTATCCAAGGCAGTAATGGCTTGGGACATTCACGACACTTCAGTTGATGTTATACCTTAGTTTTGCTTGTAATTATAAAAACAAATTAATCCTGATGTATGTAGTATTTGAACCACATATCTGTCCAGTGTTATTCTCTCCATTATGAGATCAGATTATGTGCTGCCTTTGGTCTCTCTGTCAAACTCAGGAGAAGTTGCTTTTCATTTTAGTTAATTCCTATCAAAAACCATTCTGTGTCATAAGAGCACATTATATTTGGCTATCAGGATCAAACTATGAAAGGTGTTGGGGAGGGAGGTTGTTTTGGGTTTGGTTTGGTTTTTTTTTTAAAAAAAACCATAATTATTCAGCATGCTACATATAAAATGCTTGTGTGATAATATCTTCCCTGAAGTCATTGGCCTGGGTTAGGTAAAGATGTGGGATGACTTGGCATAATGTCAAGTATAAGAATTTTGTATTGAAAGGGTAAAACATTTTATTAATGGGATTGCTAGGCATCTCCTGATTCATTTCACTCAAAATGTGAAGCTGGAGAGACTGAGGCTGTTGGTATTGCGAGGCAATACTGCTGAAGAAACTTTCAGAACTTGGAAGAGTGATAATTAAAGGTAAAGTGAACCAAAACTCCTTAGGCTTTCAGCACAATGCTACCCTCTAGTGGAACAGTGTTGCATTAAAAAAAAAACAACATTCTTTGTCAGTGATCAGCAAGGTTTTAATTAGACGTGATAATATGTTATGCAGTATATATGAGTACTTGTATAACAATAACAAAGTAGAAGAAAATTTGGGGAAGACACCTCTATCATCTATGATAATGAAAATGTAATCTGTAACTAAAATGAGTATTTCTTACTCTGATCATTCCAAATCATTGCTTTGCAAAAGGTGAATCAGAAGTTCTCATTAAATAGCAATTCATTCAGGGTTAATAGGATTTCATTCAAGGATTCTTTTAAAAGTCAGTAGCATTTCATGCAAGTCAGAAAAGTATGCTGGGTATCTAAATCCTTGTCACACGTTGTTCAGGCTCTTCTTTTGGTTAATTGTTTGCCTTTGTTCCCTGCTTCAAAGTGAACCCCTTCAGACCATGTTTTCTTCTCAAAACCTGTGATTAATATGGATGCATCCAGTTTAATCTGACATTACTGAATCTTTTACATACCTGCTGTATTTGCAGATGTAAGGTGAATGCAGGGAAATGCGATAGGCATCTGGTGAAAGACATGCTATGCTGACTGAAATATGTTACCTTTGAGTGTTTGGGGTTTGTGCAGGGAAAAGAAATGAACTTGGAATTTCAGTTGATGTAAAGATTAAAGTAGAGAAAAATTAAAAACAAAATCAAAGCTTTGATAAGGAAATAAGTGTTTACTATCATAGAATTAATAGGGTGGGAGGAGATTATTGGCCTGGGTATTTCAGTTTCCAGATCCTAGGCTGGATAGATGGGTGAATTTTGGCAGCCAAGCAATAGGCTTGAAGAACAGGAAAAACTGTAACAGGCCTGACTTTGGTGAGACTGTTGTAAAAAGGGAAGAATAAGTGATATAACCTCTGGAAAAGATGTTCTACTGGATTCCGAGGGAGGTCTGGGGATTTAAGCATGGATTTAGCTCCCAAACTGAAGCTTTTAATTTAGTTATCATTTTCCCTTTTGTGGTTTTCATTTTCTGTCACACAAAAGGATATAAAGGTAACATGGTACATCCCCTGCTGTCAGCCTGTTTCTTGAAGGGGAGGATGTGGTAGTTGTGGGAGAATACTAACCTTGACAGATGTAGAAAGCATGCTGTCTCTATAACTTTGTTATTTTCTTGGTTTGACTTCACCAGCCATAGAGATGTGTTACGCTAATGTTAGTTTTTCTGTTTGAATCAGATTGTAGACTTCCTGATAACTGATTATAAGCAGCAAGATTCATCTGTTGCTTGAAGATCTTGTTGTACATTTCCAGTGGAAATGTTCTTAAGTTTTAAATACAAACATTGTGTTGTGATTTATTTTTATGGCTGAATTTCTCTGAAGTTAATATCACAAAGTATATGGGGCTTGCAGTTTGGAATGATATGGAGAAATATTGGCATGAAGAAAATGTGTGAATGAAAACTTCTTAAAAACATGTCTGCCTTCAAGTAGGAATGATCTAGATGTTTGAGAGAACATGTGACAGGAGGAGTTTGACTATTGCAAAGAGCTTATATTAAATTAACTATTTTCAGCTTAAAGGGAAAAAGTGGGGTACTGGAGTACCATGGGTTAATACTTCACCTGGAAAGCTGTTAGTGTCTGACATAAACTCTAGGTTAAACTAGTCTGCTTATTTTAGTGCGATGTCTAACTTACTGATCAACTGTTTCTAGAAAGTTTAATAGGCAACAAAAAGACTTGCAGTCCTGCCAGTAACTGATAAGTGTTTTGTGTATATCATGTGTTGTTGGGGAGATATGGATGCTACATAAAAATTTTGTAGATCTCTATATGGAAAAAAAGCAAACAAACCAACCAAAGCAATGAAACTCATTGTACAGAGTTAACAAGCAGGTGTTCTCAGAAGTTAGGTTGCTCTCAGTGTCCAAATCATCAAAGATTGTTATAGATCCTTCAGAGTTTATGGATGAAACTTCAGAGAAAAGCATGTCAAGTGAGAAAGACTAAAAAAAAAAAAAACACAAAACAAAAAAAACCACAGAACAAAAACCTTTGAAGATGGTAACAGGGCCATCCTCAAAGTGTAGTTCTTTGAGGCTATTAACAAAGATTCTTGAAATATTTTCTTCTAATACACTATTCCATGTAGAGTGATGCCTTTAAAGTAGATACTGAGTGAGGCAACTAAAGAAATAGGTGCAGTATTCATATAAGCACAGTGCTTAGACATTAGAAAGGATTAGATAATCCCTTAAGCTATCCCTGTAGGTAAAGAAACTAAAGGAAAAAACGATAAAATAATTTTGTCCATCATCACATTCAGCTAAATGTGATGATGAAATTGTTTGAACAGGTAGCAGAGATTTAAAAGAAATTGCTTACTGTTGCATTCCTGTATACCATGTATATCATGTAAAGCTTCTGTGAGAATGCTACAGAGTGGAGTAGCACAAAAAATGCAAAAAAATTTCTGTAATTAACACCCGTCCTCTGGCAGTTAGGCTTAAAAAAAAATAGGAAGGTCGCTAATGTGACTATTTCCTTCTGGCAGTTTTATTTCTCTAAAGTTGTCTGTGCTTGTACCAAGCTATGAAGAACATGTCTTAGCTGATGCTGAAAGAGGATGTTGACAAAAATCCTGCCTTAACTGTATACACTGGTTTCTTTCTTGGAGGCCCTTAATTTGCTGCTGCAATTGAAGGAAGTTTGCGTTAGACTTTACAGACTACAAGGTGATGACACTTCTGCACTTAAGTAACCAAGAGAGAACTGAAACCACACAGAGAAAAATGAAAACCTTTGGAAACAATACAGCCTTTCTCTGACACATGCAGTGTGACTACCTTACAATGCAAAGATTGAGCTTGAGAAAGAAATGGGGTGGAGAGAACTGGTGCAGCCTAACTTCAAAAAACACCTGAACTTTTTCTGTTATTGAAAATAGAAAAAGGTCCTAATTTCTACCCCACATATAATGTCAGGAGTGGTTATGATGTTCTTCAGAACGAATGTATTGGGAAGTGTGAAAGTAAAGGCTGAAAAGCTAGGGGGTTTTTGTCAGTGATTGGTTTGCTTATTGTTGTTTGTTTTTTCCTTTCGATCAGCCATTATACTGTTTAGCTTTTAAGAGTGTTTGGCCCAAGATTCCTGACAGAACAGTCAAAATATCAGTCAATACTACCAGGTGAAAGTGCCCGTAGGAAGGTGTGCCCAAGAGATTTTATAACGTAACCTATTACTATTTCAGATGCTTGAGTTTGCCCTTATTTTACTTCAAGAATTCAAGATTCTAATTTTGGGAGAGCAGTGTCTTTTAAAGACATAAATACATTTAAAAATGGAGTCTTGTGTCGGCTGCACATGTCAGAGGTGGCTGGCTCCTTTTAGTTGTTGAGAGGCAGTAGCAAGAAGTCTGCCACTTACTAAAAAAAAAAGTGCATTTATTGCTGTTTTAAAGCAATTTTATTTGTTTACAGGTGTCAGCTGTGATGCATGTTTAAAAGGAAATTTTCGAGGTCGCCGATACAAGTGTTTAATTTGCTACGATTACGATCTGTGTGCAACTTGTTATGAAAGTGGTGCAACGACGACAAGGCATACAACTGACCATCCAATGCAGTGCATACTAACAAGAGTAGATTTTGGTAAGTCATAATTTCAAACTCTAGTAATTTGCTGCTATGTTGTGTCTACAAACATAATATGGATTTTCATGTTTCTACCTATTAATCACTTCCTCCATGAGCACACTGAAAATAAGAGCAAGTTCTCAGGCATGTTTTCTTTGATTTTAGCACACAAGAACTGATTTATATATTTCTTTTTAATTGTTGCATGGGTATTTTTAATCTTTTTTATTTTGGTCTGATAACAGCCAGTTATCAGACTAATAAATACACTTTGTAACAATGACTACTCCTCATTAACTTCCAATTCAGAAGATACCTTCTGCCCCCAGTATGCTTTGCTTAGGTGCTATGGTGTACAAGCAGAAAAATCCTGGTGAGATTTTGTAGGAATGTTATTCATTGGTGGCTTATGTGGGACTGTAGGTACAGCAGGGGTAGTGATGGATTGTACCAAGTATAAAAGATTAGTGGCAAGGACTAGCATGTAGTCTTCTCGGAACTCCTTTGAAGATCTACTAATTTAAGAATTATTTCTGACTGTAAAGCCGTGTCAGTATTTAAAATATGAAGTAATTGTTCTTGTCTCCTATCCAGCTTGTTGTTTCTATTGCATCATATTTGTAACAGGTTGTAACTCATGAGATACGTCTGTGACAAACCACTGCTCTAAGATGTTGCTAATGCTGGACATGCGTTTCGTTTTTGTGTTAAGCCCACAGAGCATTTTAGTAAAATTTTTTAGCAATTCCAGCTGTATTGTTTTTAGGTTTTAAATTCTTTAAATATGATGATTTCTTAAAAGCTGAAATCTTATGAATTGTAAATTATTTCCTTACCTTTTTGATTAAAACAGAAGAAAAATTACTTCTTTATTGCTTTAAAGATGCAACTGGTTTCTCAAATGGCCTTTGAATGAAGATGTCTTCCATTTTCTTTTAATTCTCAGGCCTCTGCTTGCCCTAAGACTTCCTGGTTATGACTTAAAAAATCCAGGCCCTGGGAATCCAGGGTTTGGAAGGAAATAAGTTAGTGCATTATCAAAAATGCACACCACCATTTTGGCTTGCATATGTTTCTTCTTGGGCTTCTTTTTTTTGGTCTCACTAATGAGGTAAAATTCTCTGCGTACAGTATATTAATTCAGGATTCTAGTCACTGTTTGAGATGCACAGTTCAAACTCCTTAGCCTCTTAGCAACAGTTATTCTTGGATGTTACACATGGGCTAAAAGGACAGCATTGCCATAAATGTTAAACGCTCATCATAGAGGTAAGAGGACTGAAACATGCTTGCTATGAAGCCTTAAGCTAACATTAAATGTCAAGGCTTTCAGTGTACTGCAATGAGGAAGCTTGTTCTAAACACTACTCTCCTAAATAATGCCTCTCATTAGGTATCAGAACCTAAGAATGCCTAGGAAACACATTTTGTTTCTTGCAACTTGGATACTTCTATTTTGGAAGTCTTTGATAAATGTATCTTTTGGTTTAATGCATTTTATTTGTGTATGTTGTTGGGGCAGAGGGGGGTTATTTTTTACTATTTAAGTCTGCATGAAGAATACAGATGGCGAAGTGGAAGAAGTAAAGTATTGAGATGGGTAATAGGATTCAAAGGGATACTTCTGCTTTGCTTGGTGTTTATGCTACTGTGGCTTCTTTAAATAAGAAGAATAAGAAAACAAGCTTTAGAAATTTCATAGGCTTGATACCTGAGCATTGCTCCCACAGAACCAGTGTTAGGAAAAAAAAAACCACTGCAGCTCAGCTCTGCAGCAAGACTGCTGGTTTGATTAACACTGTAGAACAAGAACAGGAAAGAATACATCACCCCCAGATTGTGAACCACAGCAAAGGTTGATGGCACCCGAGTACTAGTGACCTTGTAAGCTTATACACTGGAGAATGAATTAGGGAATATTTATAAATAATATATTCCTTAGAGCTCAGGAATGTCTGTCAAATCATTCTTAAAATGTTTTTATTTTACAATTCCCTGCAGAATGTAAGACATAAAGGAGCATGCCTTCACAGTATTGTACAGATGTTTAGAGAAACTACGGTAACTTTTCAAAGGGCCTTGTGTAGCCAAGGAGATCACATGACTTTGAGGAACGTCTGAAAAATTAGGAGCTAAGGAATGTTAAGTTTTATTAGAAAATCAATAATGAATGGCAGAACTAGTCTAGAATGACCTGTTTCAGAGTTATCAGGATAGCTATTCAAGTGAATATTAAAAACACCTAGGAAGCAGATATTAATGGGTTAAAAGAAAATAATCTCAAGGGCAGGATTGACAACGTAAAACTAAATGGCATAGAAGTAACGAAGTCTTCAGTCACTTCCTAGTGACGTGGGAGGTCAAATGAAAGGAGAATGTTTTCTAACGTATGACAGTATGAGTAGGGAGTTTTCCTAAGTAAGGAAAACATCAGTAGAAACACAGAATGGAAGGCTGTTAGTATAGCTAGGTGTGTGAATTGTAGTTTACCTGGCCATTGACAAACTTCAATACTGTTGTCTGTAATCAGGTTTGATTCAAAGGTATGAAAACTGTTTTTAATAGGAGAAAAGTTACAGTTTTTGCTGATGTTGGGGAGGGAAGTGGACAGCTGGTAAAAGATGAGTATTTTACCAAGGAGAAGGAAGCAGAGTAGGGGATCCTTCCATTGCAAAACTTCAGAGGAAGTCAGTGTCATTTTTCTGATTTTAAAAGTGCGCGTGGGGATTAGCGAGTTATTTGTTTAAGGTCCGTCTGCAGCTGATGAAAAGGACCCTGTACTTCTAGTTCCCATCACTATTCTGGCCAGCACTGTCTATATGCAGATAACTGTGGAGTTTGCTTAAGTACTCTCTGCCTAAAGCTGTGACCAAGTTCAGGTTTGTGGTGGACAGCTAATCACATGTATGATCCTATGTGTCTGGGATTGTTTCAGCATAGAAAAAGTTAACATACTGTTTACCTCCATGAAAATTCTGATCAGTTTTTAGGGTTCCTAGATACTGTAATAATGTTGCAGAGTATATTGCAAGAAGATAGACTTCTTCAGGTGCTCTGAAGGAGCTTTTGTTGTCATCTTAATATTTTTTGATTTATACCCTGCCCCCACCTCCCCCCACTCCCCCTTGAGACTTGGAGTAGTATAGGAGCCCGTATGAGAACGGAAAACAAATAAAAAGCCCTAGTGATTTCTGGCTACACGTGTTCCCTCTTGTACCATCTGATTGGCATATTCGTCTTTCAGGAGTCAGTGTATGACCTAGTATTAATTTTGAAGCAAGATGGGATCCAGAACAATGGCAGTGCTATTGTTCTTCAGTCCCCACAAGAAACACTGGAAAAAATGCTTTAACACAGACACCAAGAGTGACAGGCTGCTGTAACAGGGACAGAACTTAAAATAAAGTAGCCTTTAAAGCGTAAATCCAATTAGTTTGTTTCTGAGGGGTCGAACAGTAGAATTGCAATAGGCCTGTATAAAGAACAGGAATGTGCTTACCACGCAGTCATTGTACTTTTGTGCTTTTCGTAGGACAATTTGTCAGGACAATGGAGAAGTGCAGAGCAAATTTCCCAGTTTTCTTTCTCCCGAAAAAGAATCCCAAGCTATTTATGACTTTAAGCATGTGGCTTGTACATTACCCCCACCATTTTAAAGGCGTTATACTGGCAAAGAAAGTAATAGAAACTGTTAGTAGAATTCTCTGCCAAAATCATATTGTGTTATTTTTATCGAAGTACAGAACAAGTGTACCTTCACTTGTCAGCTCAGGTGCTTATGTGATGGAAGGTCCTGCCACTTTTTGTGCCTAATTCTTAGGCAAAGGGAGCTGCTTAAATAATAGTTACCTTGGCAGTGTGCAGTGTGAGGTCTGACTGGATTCACCAGAATTCAGCTTGAGGCTTTTGTGACTTTTCAACTGCTAGAACACGATCTGGCTGGTAAGTGTGTATCTTGCTAAGTCAGAGCATAATAGAATAGCCTAGTTTTTTTGGAAGGGGATTCTGGAGATCATCTCATCCAACCTTCTGTTGAAAGCAGGGACGTAAGTTGGGCTATCCCATCAAGCCAAGTCTTGAGTATTTCCCTCAAGGAATCTTTCACCACTTCTGGGCCACCTCTTCCACCATTTAGTTCCTACAGTGAATTTTGGGGTGTTTTTGTTTGTTTTCCTTTATCAAAGCGGAATTTTCTCTGAAGCAGCTTGTGGCTGCAGCTTGTTGCCATGCTTCTTTTTGAAGAGCATACCTCTATTTCCTCTATTACTTTCTCAGTGTAGGAAGTTGGAGATGAGATCCACCTTGAGCCTTCTCTAGGGTGGATGAACACCATTCCTTCAACCATTCTTATATAAAGTTCTCCAACCCTCTGACTGTCTTGGTGGACACAAATGTGTGCGTGCACACACAACACACACACAAACACCGCCCCCCCCAGATCCTCTCCATTTTATTTCAATATCGGTCTTGAATTGGAGAGACCAAAACTGAACCCTGTGTTGCTGGTTTTGCCTAACAAGTGCCAAATAACACGGGATAATTGCATCCCTTGATTTGATGGTCGTTATCTTACCGATTTAGCCCAGGTCATCGTTTGCCTTCAGTGATGCAGGAGCACACTGCTGGCTCATGTTTGACTTGCTGTCCACTGGGATCCCCCAGTCCTTTTCAGCAGAGCTGCTCCCCAGGTAGTTGACCCTGCCTTTGAGAGCAGCTGCTGTTCTGGCACTGCTCAGTATTGGCAGACGGGCTGCAAATCCTCTCTCATCTTCATAGCATCTGTGCTCGTTCATGGCTTCAGCATGTGGTTCTTATTGTTGGGGAGCAGCAATACCAGAGCTCCATAAGGAATAACAAACGAGGAGCTGAGGCTGACCACAGCACAGGCAGGGGCAGTGTCGTCACTGACAGAGTACGCAGGGCAGGGCTGGTAACAAAACAGGTCCAGTTGACAGTCCCAGACAAAGCAAGTATATCAAGTCAGCTCTGGGGTCCATGCAGGAAAGCCATCTAAG